GGTCATTTTAATTTATTGTTACTTTATAGAGTCCACACTAATTCTATGATTTTGTTAATTTGTCCCCTAGGTACCAGAGGGTAAACACCCAAAAGCAAAAAACCAGAAGTAAAAGAACCAAATTAATAGATGTATTTTTTGACCAGAGCCCCCAGTTAATTCTGAAAAACCTTTTAATCTAAGAAAAGAGACCTATTTATCCCTATTGATAACCCTAGCAAGTAGGACATTTAATCTTAGAGGGCTGAGTCACACCATAATCAACTCTAGATCCTCAAATGTGAACTGCTATCTTCTCTACTACCATCTGTGCTGTAAGATTATGTTCCCTGAAGGTAGCCAATATGTCACTCTCTCTTCCTCCTCCTGAATTCACTTTACCAACTATAGAAAAAGGATTAACAAACACCAGGCAATATTGCTCATGGTAAAAATAAATCCTGATATATAAACTGTATCTGGATATGTGTGTGTGTGTGTTACTCACCCAGTCTTTGCAACCCCATGGACTGTAACCCACCAGGATCCTCTATCCATGGGATTTCCCAGGCAAGAATACTGCAATGGGTTGCCATTCCCTTCTCCGGGGGATTTTCTCCACCCAGGAATTGAATCCAAGTCTCCTGTATTGTAGGCAGATTCTTTACCAGCTGAGTCACCAGGGAAGCCTTTGATTCACCCTGCATCTGGATGGGAGGGCTCTAAATGAACTACATACCTAATGGAAGGCCATAGTTTGACTTTCTCTGATTGTGGATACGCATGTAATTGAGCATGTCCCTCACAGGGACCCTAGAAACTATACTTATCAAACTGTTACAAAAGCTATCAGTTCTTAGACATCATAAATATTATAAGCCAAGGTAATCCCTGTTCCTAACTATATGGATCTTATCTCCTGTACCCAAGTTGTCATTTGGGGGGTAGAGATCAAAGAACAGCAGCTGGGCTGCCATTGAAAACTCCAGTGAAAGAGGAATGCTCTGCTGAATGCTGTTTCTTGTCCAATATCCTTCTAAATGAATTTAATGCTAAGTTTGCGCTATTTGGGTCCTGTGAGTCTGAAATGTCTGGTTAAACCTAACTAGAACTGCTGCCAATCTCTGCAACAATTGTAAATATACCAGGGAACTTTCAGGTGTCTCATGATGTCTGGTTTCCCCAATAATGCTCTTTTGTACACTGCTTCATTTAAATTAAATCTTCTGAGCAACATTCAGTAAGACTTTGTCACTTAATGTCTTTTTCTCCCATTTCTGTTGGTGTACATACATTCAGAAATTCAACATGAATCCCAAAGAGGATCAAATGAACAAATCCTCACTGAAGTACTGTGAGGTTGCCACATACACAGAGGCACTAATTGTTTTGAAACCATATATAATTTTGAGTACCTGCCACAGTAAACTTCACATTAAAAGGCTTTGTCTGTTCAGTTCCAATGTCTATCACTCCCACTACATTTCAGTGATTTTTCCAACTGCCCATTCATGAGTACTGCACCTCTACAGAAAACATCTATATGAGTAACTTCAACAAAAGGTTCCTACCTAACAGCCAGTCCCTCTAGCCAGTTAGCAGTACATTTTATCTCAGAGAAGAGGCTTTTGATCAGTTGGTGTCACTTAGTCGCTGAGTCATGTCCAACTCTTTTGCAACCCCATGGACTGTAGCCTGCCAGGCTTCTCTGTCCAAGGGATTTCCCAGGCAAGAATACTGGAGTGGGTTGCCATTTCCTTCTCCAGAGGATCTTCTTGACTCAAGGACTGAACCTGCATCTCCTGCATTGCAGGCAAATTCTTTACCACTGAGCCACCAGGGAAGCTCTTGATCAGTCTAAATTAAATATATACCATGAATTAAATTTTACTTCATGCAAAGTCTGTAATTTCAGAATATATACTCTATCAATTACTAATGATTTACAGCTACACTCCATAAGAGCACAGGCTAAATGAAGAGCCCCTAGGTATCAATCTAAGATATACTCAAAATAATTCTAACAGTCTGTTCAAGAAGTTTGCAGCTCATATAAATATTCATATAAACATGAAGAAATAATATGTCCATATAATTTTACTGGAAATAATATACTCATATAATTTTATTTGTATAATGTGATTGTATTTTATGCATTCATATTATAAAGATATATTTCATATAGAGAAATTTTTAAATAATTCCTTCCTCTATAAAAATTGCATCAACAATTTTTAAAGCTACAAGGAATAGTGAATGTAAGCTCTATTACTGCCACTTTATCTGGTAAGTAAAAATACCCACCATCCTTTATTTGTACTATATTTACACAATACATTCACTGGTTACTCTTAAGTTATTATTCAAACATTACTAATGTTAAATTATAATATTTTTTTATTAACTTAAAATATTTTACTCAAACATTTTTAGACTGGCAGTGCTGGTGCTAAAAACAAACAAACAAAAAACTCCTAAGAATTAACTTTGGAATGAAATTTACATGTGCTAAAAAAACATAACTAAGGAAGTTAAAATAAGCTGTGTTTTTAATTTAACTGCCATAACATGCTCTGCTATTAATTTAAGTAATTGTCCTCTGCAACTATAATAGAAAATACTGAATTAAACAGGCAAGGAAATATATTAGATGTTCTAATGACAGTAAAAAAAAAAAAAAAACTGAGGAAAAAAATGTTAATATCAAAGCGTAAGTATGTTACAATGATTGTGGCATTATCGACCTAAGACACAAACATAATCACCCACTGTCAGTACTTACCTGTGCTCCCTCAACATACAGTTTATATTCATTACTTTTATGTTTTGAATTATTTACTCTTGAATTATTTAAGGTCTGAATTATGTGTCTCCTCCAGATCGCATTTCATCCATCAAACGGAACCATCTTATATTAATATAAGACAGTATAAAGGTCAAAATGAATGGGACAAGACAATAGGTCAGAGTGACCGATGTGGGCTACAATAGGAGAGAGAAGCCCACTCTTTCATTTATGACCTTTCATTTAAAATATTTTAATCTCTTAGTGTGTTCCAGACAATGTGCTAGATGCTAGAGATGAAAAAATGATCAGAATATAGTCTCTATCTTGAAGGAATTACACAAAATATGGAAAATAAATACATAAATGAATAACAACACAAACCAGTAGCATTCCCAAAGAAATTCTGGGTCATCAAAAAGAACTTCTATTAGAGTCAGAGAATTTTAGGCTACCCCCAGAAGTTACTTCTGCAGTAGAGATCTTAGAAATTAAAATATATATGTTTGTTTAAGCAATAAAAGTTGTTATGGTATGAATGTTTGTGTCTCTCAAAATTCATATAATGAAATTCTAATTGACAATGTGATAGTATTAGGAGGTGGGGCATTTTGGGGGTGACTAGGTTATGAGGCTGGATGAGACTAATACTCTTATAAAAGAGGCCCAAAAGAGCTCCCTTGTCCCCATCCACCATGTAAAGAATACAATGAAAAGTCTGTGACCCAGAAGATGGTCCTTACAAACCATGTTGACACAATGACTCAGACTCCAGTCTCCAAAACTGTGGGAAACAAATTTCTGTTGTTTATAAACTACCCAATCTTTGATATTTCATGATAGCAGCTCAAATGGACTCAGATAAAGAGTTCAGCTATAAAATTTAATTACTATTGAATCCTTCACTAAACCTGTATTTTGCTCAAAAATACTGTCCTTTCTTTTCTTTTCAGTAGCAGTGCAGAACTTCTGACATTCTATCACCATTTTTTCCCACTGCTGTGATGAAAATAGTACACCATTGCTCAAAATGGCTACCACAATGAAAATGTGTGGTATTCTAGTTGCTACTAATGGTATAAATGCCTGAGATTTAGTTTTAACCAAAAGCCACATACGAAGAATAAATCATATTCTCTAATTAAAAGATTGATGGGGAATACATGTAAATCCATGGCTAATTCATTTCAATGTATGACAAAAACTACTGTAATGATGTAATGTAATTAGCCTCCAACTAATTAAAAAAAAAAAGATTGAATTACATCTCGACTGGAATAAAAAACTCATGCTGTAAGAAAATGCATGCATTTGTAAATGGTACAGTGCACAAGAGGCAGAGTGACAATTTTAAATGGAGAGGGCAAAAGAGGCTTCTCAGAGGATATGGCAAAAGAATTAAAATTTGAAGAATAGGTAAGTAGTTGGAATTGGTAAGGGAAGGACATGACTTCCCTTCCTGAAGTACTTCAACTAGCCAAATCAAACAAAGAACTCAAAGACAGCAAAGACACGGCATTTTTTGAAGTATTATATAATTCTGCTGACATTATAAACAAGCAAATGTCAGCATTTATTATTGAAAAAAGAAATCCCAAAATGTTATTGAAATAAAAATAATAGCCAGCAGGGGTTGGAGGGAGAGATTCAAATAAAAAGAAGAGGAAATCATATTGAATTTCTCATCTTACACAAGGTGAGTCAACACATGCTGCTTCACTTTTAATGTTAGTAGAGAAATACAAGTTCAGTTATCCCTCTGGCTTACTTATTTCAGAAGACACTATTCCAAAACGAAAATAGAGGATGTATAACTTTCAAATTACTCTATTAAAGAACATTTAAGAATTGTAAAAATATAAGAAGTGGGTAGAAAAAAAACAAGGAAATTCCCAAATAAAAGTATAAAGTAATAGAAATGAAATTAAGTAGATCTGTTAACAAGAAATATAACAAAATACTGATTATGAAGAGAAGTATCTAACAGATAGGATAAAAATAAAGTGATAAATACACCAAATACAAAGAAAGTATGGATTACAAATATCAACATCAGGCAAAAACTTTAGACAACAGGCTTTAAATGGTACAAACTGATCAAATTATAATTCACAATGAAGTATAGAATAAATTTTTATGAACTAAATAATTTAGGACTAAAGTTCTCTTTCATTGATGAACTATACACAAAGCATAAGAATATAAATAAGTAAATAATATAAAAGTAAACTTGGGTCTAAAAGCTACATGCTGAATCTAAAAAAAGAGAATATACATATAAAAAGATATTCATAAAATACTTACAAAAACAGATCATCTATCTACACTACAAAGAAAAAGATCTCAACCATATTTTTTAAAAAATTGAGATATGATAGGCTTCAGAATCTTATTCAAACTAAACTAGAAATAAACACAGCTCATGACAAAGCACATTCTTCTAAACATTCTTGGGTTAAATAAGAAATCAAAATGGTAAACATAAATTAGAAAACAATGCAGCTGACCCTTGAATAAAACAGGGTTTAGGGAACATCAACCCTCTGTACAATGGAAACTCCACGTATAACTTATAGTTGGCCTTCTATATCCATGGTTCCTTCAAGTCCTCAGTTCCTACATATTCACCTCCACAGATCATGCAGTACTGCAGTATTTACTATTAAAAAATATCTACATTTAAGTGGACCTATGCAGTTCAAATCAGTATGTTTAAGGGTGAACTGTAATTTATAAAATTTTCTCAGGACAAAACATCTATCTTTGCATACAAGTCTGACCATTTCCTTTTAACAGAAGTAAAAGTGAAGGTCACTGGAGTTGAGGAAGTCACAGAAGTTTTTAACTAAGATATTAAATTGCTCATCCATGTGATCAAAGGAAATCCCCCATAAAACAGCAAGAATTGAAGCATAGCCAAGATATAAGTGCCAGAGTGCCCAGTTAATTTGGAAAAATCACCAAGAGGTGAATAGATGATAGAAGTCAAGGGGTATCAATCCAGAAATTGATAGCAATTTACTAGCTGAAAGGAATATATATATAGTGCTTGATTTTCATTCCAATAATAAAGGTGTAACATCAGTTCCTTAAGGGTGATAGCCGGATTGTTGATAAACATTTATTGACCAATTAATACAAAGAGGCTTGAACTACTAACCATTTTAGTAGTTTGATCAAACCAGCTATAAGAAATACTTGCATGGAAGCTTCTAGATACAAGGATACATAAGATGTATACAAATTCAAAACAAAGAATGTCCATACGCTTGATGTGAATAAATGAACATGAACTAGGAGAAGGCAGTCAATGTATCTCCTCATCTTATCCTTAAGACAGATTTTTACTTAGAGAGCATTCATTCCATACAATGACAAAATAAATATGAACATATTTAAACTACTTCATACTATATTCAGTAGTTTCAATAAAGATTGATGCTTTCTTGACTAGCCTTGGACTTGCTAAACTCTGTTATTACCATCAGCATATAAAGTTTCCAGCAAGCTAAACGCTGTGTTATATTAGGAAGTATTAAGGAAGAAAAAATACCTTGTTAGTGGAATTGATTTTTTCCTGGGAAACAACAATGAGTTTTTCTGCAAAAAAAGATAAATTTTTAGTTTAAAGCAAATAAAACCAACCAACCAGTAATTTTTGCTGCCTTTTCCTCTTGGTTCACTCGGTTCTCATCATCATCTTCATTATCTTCCTCAAAGTCATCTAGATTGCCAATGTCAGCTTGCTTCATACTCATCAAACTAGCCAAACTTTGCATGTCTTCATCCCTATGTCAATGATAATACAGTTTATTAAATGACATTGCCTAAAAAAGGGTTGTTTCTTAAGAAAATAATATTAATATATTCCTTCTCTCTAAATGTTAACAAGACTTTTTAAACAGTTATACAAAACTACTGAATAATGTAAACATTCATTAATTTTTAAATTGCACATTTAATTAATAGAAAGTAAATGATTTAACTGGTTAGTTAAATTCTGCGCTACATATCTAAAATTTTCTTCATGGAATTAACGTATAGCTTTCTGATCATGAAGGTTGGAAACAAAAACTTGTTTCACAAAATATCAGAACAGTTTGCAAAGCAGATGAGATCTAGACTTTAAAAATATTCAAACTTGCAGAAGTAATTAGAATAGAAATTCTTAATCTAAAGTCCAAGAATCCTTTTGGTTTTGTGGGTAGGAGGAAAAAGAAATGGTAAACCCTGTAAATTATATTTAAATCTTGTTTAAATGTGTATTTTTCTCAAAGGAGTTGAAACTTGCCAAAAGTTAAGAAACTACAGTAACTGAAAAAGCACTTGAAAGCCTAGCCTTTGTAAGAATTACATAATGGAAAATGGGTTAAATTTCCATCTTGGGTTAATTAAAGACCATACATTTGATAAAATGTAAAAATGATTTTTATCTTAAAGTATTTTAAATACAAACTTATATAGTGTACTACTCAATATTAACTAACCTAAGTTTTCTTGATCTATTATTTTCACCTTAAATTTCAAATAAACTACAGTGAATGAAACATATTTCTAACATGATATGTACTAACTAAATTTCAATCTGGTATTCTTCCACCAAATCCAGAAAGCTAAATTAAAACACTTTCTCATTTTACCACGATAAAAACAAAACAAAAGACACTTTTCTTTTGTAAATATGCTTGTTAACACTCACTCATCTTCTAAATATGATAGGATTTTGGAGACTAAACTGGTTTTTTTAATTCTTCACATTTTATCTCATTTAAGCTTAGAGTTAACAAAATAATTTCCTCTTTTCAAGACAAATTTAGTGACACAAAGTCTGTATGGGCAAAAACAGTTGTATTACTTTATGTGAATGCCTTACAAACTGCTCTCCTATCACTAGGATATAACTTCAATATATAACAGTGTTCTTAAAATCTTAACTTGCTTAATTTTATCTCCTATATTTTTGCCCTGAACATCTTCTTTGGGAAAGGTGAGCAGGCAACCAGTGAGGAGACAGAGAGGTGGTTTAGGGTGTTCTGAGAACATACTTCACTCAAATTGATATTTAGTTTGACTGAATTTCCTCTCACCCAAATTCCCATGAATGGTGCTAAATCACTTACTGCTTCTGCCTAGTGGAAAGGAGTCCACCTTCAAAGAATCTTCTCTGATTATGTCTCTCTTCTTTCTCTGCTTCCTTTCTTTTCATTTTGGCTTGAACTTCAGGGCAAGGTCTTTATTTTTAACTTTTCAATATTTAAATCTATAATTCAAAGTCCTGAGTTGAAAGACTAATTGCTTCCTGCACTGTCCCTCTACCTCACTCCCATAGAAGCCAACTTTGCAGAGAAGAGGCTTATTGTTATCTACCAAGTCATTTGTAGATGAGTGTCAAACATCTCGTTTTGACTGACGCAGAGAACCCCGTCTAATCAGTCAAATAGACATGGCCAATTATAGTAACCACTTTCCACTAGGTCAAACACATTCAGAAGTGTGATGCAGATTAGAATGAAATGCTCGTTCTTCCTATCACCGCTTAAGTCTTAGGCAGAGAATTTCTGTTTTCCTCTCAGTACTCCAAGTAGGTACTAACCCTTTCACTACACCCAAAACATACACTTACTGTTGATTTGACTGTATGGAACAACTAAGAGAAATGTTACTTTTTTTCCCCCTGCTCTAGGTATGTTCACCTCATCCTAACCAGTTAGAATTTTATTTTTTCAGGAGACTACAACTGGGTATAGGAACCATCTTTGTGCAATGCTATGCACTGCTTAAGAAGTGATATTTGCAAAAGTAATGATTATAGCAAACTGGTTATCTAAACTGTATTATACCTTTCCTGTACAATTTTTGAAAGGCTGAGCCAAAGAAGATGAATTGGCAAAAGTTCCTTTAGTTCCTTCAATACTCTTATTCTAAACTTTTCACTTTGGGTTCCCCTTGTGCCTCAGTCGCATCACACATCTCTACAAAATGAACTGTGTACTTCACAGTACAACTACTTACACTGAAGACATTGAAATATAAAACCTATGGTAACCCATAATACACATTTTACACTTTTTTAAATTGCTAAAGTCATTTTTATATTACTTTTCATTCTCCAGCATCAAGAGAGACTATAAATAACAAGAAGTACATCTAGTTCAGCTTCTGAAACAAAGAATGGCAAGAATGATTGGTATGTGGTAGGATGTTCTCAACTGTTGCCAGTTTACTGAGACAAAAGCTATTTACCTACAATGTTTTCTTTAAAAAACAAACAAACAAACAAACATACTTTGAAGCAGCTTATCTGACAAAAGAAACTTACGTGGCTTTTCCTTCCCGAAGGAAAATGCAAGATAATGAAAACTGAAGAGTGGCAGATACAACTTTTTTAGACAATGGCTTGAATTTTAATTTGACATCAGTCTGCGTTGGCATTGGGCTTGCATACTGTTTCATGTTGATGCTGGTGGTGGCAAGAGCTTTTCTTCGACCAGAAGGGGATTCCTGGAAGATAAAATTCATTATGTAATTTGGAGTTATTTACTTTATAGCCAAGTATCGTTGAATGTTATTTTAATAATTTGATTAAACAGCTGTTGAGACTTCCTTCTCCAATGAATTCCTATAACATAATACTGAAATAAAACTGTAATAAGGTTATATCACAACCTTTATATCTTTTTTTAAAAATTAATGTATTTTAATTGGAGGCTAATTACAATATTTTGGTGGTGTTTGCCATATATCAACATGAATAAGCCACGGGTGTACATGTGCGTGTAAGGCAGAGAAAAATTGGAGATAGCTGGCTCAGAGAAATAAGGGAAGACTAGAACAACCTTAAATATCTCAGGAAAGGAAAAGCAAGGAATGCAAACTAGGACAGGAAAGTGTCCAGGTCTCCTGTAAAAAGAGGATCTAGCTCAAAGCATTAATACTAAACAACTGTTTTCCTTCCTTTAATTAAATTTAATGTAACCTAAGGTTTCCAGGCTTCCCAGGTGGCTCTGTGGTAAAGAATCTGCTGTGATGCAGAAGACACAGGAGACACCGCGGGTTTGATCCCTGGGTTGTGAAGATCCCCTAGAGGAGGGCATGGCAACCCACTCCAGTATTCTTGCCTGGAAAATCTCATGGACAGAAGAGCCTGGCAAGCTACAGTCCACAGGGTTGCACAGAATCAGATGCGACTTAAGCAACTGAGCACGCACACAAGGTTTCCTTAAAAAAAGATTCTAGCACAAAGCTAGGGATCAAAAGCATTAATACTCAACAACTATTTTCCCTCCTTCGATTATATTTAATGTAACCTAATGATATTTCTTCTTGAACCTTCAAATTTCTTAAAGAACCCCAGCCTCAGTGGCATTTCTACCTCGGTTTTTTCTACAGTCTCTGAATTCTATATCTGTCCTGTACTTTGAGACTTAATTCTTCCCCAGATCTTTTCTGCTCACTCCAGTCTAAAGTTCTCTCTTCCCTCCCTAAGATGACATAAATCAAATTAGAAAGAGCTGGTTTCTCTGATTGTATGTCTGTGGTGGACACTGCTCAATGACCCCAGCAGATCTCAACTCTTCTCCATACAGCTACTGTCAATTTACTAAAAATGGAACACAAAATGAAACCTATTTGCTATTAAAGATGCTTAACATTCCATTAATAAACTATCTCATTCCAAAATTATTCTTTATAGCATAACAGCCTAGAAAAATAATGAAAACAGAACAACAATATAATGATTGGGCATTAACTATATCTAAGACATGCTGTCAATTCTGGAGAGATATAAAAATGAATAAGACATAATCTTTGACTATCTGTTCTAACGGTAAGGAGAAATCTTAGGCATAGAGTAATTAATAAATAATGTAAACCAGAAGTCATATACCAGCAATCCTTGGGCTTTACTAGTCTGAGAGTTCAGACCTAAAATAAGACCTAATTTCTAAGCTGTGTGACTTTGAATAAGTCAGTAAACTTGAGGCTTGGTAATTTTCCCTGTAAAATGAGGAGACTGAACAAAAATCCATTCAAGTTCTATAATGGTTTTCTACAAAATTACTCAATTTTCCAACCAAGGCAGAAGAAACTATCAATGACTTCTGAATTATTATTTAATAAATCTTTATTTGCCCTATGATTGACAAACTTGCCTAAAATAAAGATATACTAACTTAACCAAAATATTAAAATGGCCTTTTTAAAAAATTAGACATTTCTACCAGCAGAACAAGTAAAACTGTAATGTAGCATCCCTAAAGAATACCTTGTTTTAAAAAGTGGTCTTATCTGTCAGATTATGCACAGCAATATTACACAGAACTATTAGTGCATGTAGATACCTTGTGAATGAATTTTTAAAATGCATCAAGCACTTGAGAAGGATTTCAGACCTCTCAGAAGAAACACTTAAGAATATGCAAATACCTTCAACTGAATCAAGTTGAACAGATGTGACTGTCCCAAACAATACAAATGTTCTTTCCCTGGTCGCTACTGTCAATCAAAGAATAAGATTAAGGTCCAAGGTTGTGACAATGTGCAAAGTGAAAAACTATGATTGAGAGTATCAATTTATTACACTGATATGAACAATAATCTCTCATTGTACCTTTAGAATAGCTAACAACTACTACATAAAATATAGGATTTAAAGCCTCTGTTTTGAAAGCATGACATACAAATTGCTACATATTATTTTCGTATTTGTTAAACAAATCTATTTCACAAAATATGACATTGATCCCTTAAAAGTAATTATTTAATTTTATAACCAAATAATCAAACTATAAAAATTAAGATAACTTGGAAATGTAAATAATTTTGAAAGTCTAATTTAAGGATGATTCCTGCAAAATCTCGAGTTTTGATGATTAACATTCTATTATAAGGTCTGGGCAGGTAAGCAGAACAGAACTCTTTTGAGTCTACAGTGTCTATTTCTAATATTAACATAGGATGTCACTTAGAGCCTGTATCCTTGATAGGAAAGGGGGTCTAAGTGATGTTTTTAGTATTTCTTTACCCAGCTCAGTCATTGTTTTCCTCTTTAAAATTAGCTGTCATAGAAAATACATTTTTTACCAGAACAATAATGAGAAAAACATAAGCATCTTTCACAGCTCTAATTCCAGCTCCATGAATCTTCACTTTTTATAACCATTAGGTCTATATCTGTATCCACCAACCAAGAATAGTATCATTGTTATCATCAGTTTTACAGAGACGAATAAAATAACTGCTATATGTCTTTTGTATCCTATAGTTCTTCCTTAAAGGACTAGGAGTCAGCCTGGCAGAGAGACTTTAGAGAGAATTACTATTACTACCGTTAAAGTCCTAATGCTATTTCATTTCACATGAAGGCTGGACAAGAGGAGAAAAATAAAGGGAAAAAAAATAGTAAAAGGAAACCTTAGAGAAAGGAGGTTAGATGACTGAAGTCAGTAAGAAGGGAATGTTTATATAGAAACATTCAGCTAAGTTTCTGACTCCAGGCCTAAGCTATTTATATGTGAATCTGGCAGTATTCGGGGAATTATTTCAACATCCATAAAGCATAAGTTCTTATTTAGTGTTCATCAAAAAAAAAAAATAAAGCTAGGCCAGCTTTAGATAATTTAAATACCTGGATCCCACCCCAAGAGATGCTAAACTAGAGATGGCTCAGGAATCTGTAGCATTTCTAAAAGTAATAAGTACCTCCCCTCCCAATTCCCATCTTGACCCTCTCATAAGCCCATCTCTTCCATCAAGTGATTCTGATCCAGTTAATCTAAAAATCATAGTTTCAGAAATACTTCCCCTAAGGAAATTACTAAAGGAAATTTTAATCTCATTTTTCATAACTATTCTGTCATAAAAATGACTTAGCCTATATATTTCCATTTCTTTGAAATCCACATTATTGTACTCATAATCAGACAAACCTAGATTAGAACATGACCAGCATTTATTCTCTGGCTAATCTTTGGTATATTTCTTCATGTATCTGAGCTTCAGTTTCCCACACTCTCAGATTGGTGAGTATTTTCAAAAGCTGGACGATACCAAGTGTTAATGAGGATGAGGGACAATGTAAATTCTCTTAACACTACAGGACAGAGCTTCAACTGATATAGCCATTTTGGAAAGCAATTTGACATTACCTTGTAAAGTTGAACAGATGAATACCTTATCAATAATTCTCATCCTAGAAATATGTCCTAAATAAATTCTTGCAATAATATATGAAAATACTTAGGACTTAGTAGAGTTTTTAGCATATAGCAATGTTTAATAAACAGCAGTTATTATTAATATTCATGGGAAATTTTACCTGGCTTATTACATTAATATTAATATTATAAGTAGTCTATCTAGATTCACCAATCTTGAAATTGTTACCAAAATGCAAGTTTATGTGCCTGATGCACAGTGAAGCCAAACAATACCAAAACACCAGAGTTTGGAACAGAGGAAGGTTTACTGAGGGCCATGCAAGGATATGTGTGGCTCATGCCTTAAAAACCCTAAACTCCCCAAAAGCTTTCAGCAAAACCCCTTTATAGGAAAGGTAAGGGAGGGGCATGGTTAAGTTGTTGCACACTTCTTGGTGTCAGATCCTTTGCTCTTGAGGTCAGGTCATGGTCAGGTAACGATGTTCCTGTAAACCTCCACCAAACAAATGCTATTCTCTGTTCTGACAAGAAAGGGCAAGTTCCCAAGGCACAACTTTCACCCTCTGAGGTCTAGATCCTGACTGATAAAGCAGATCTCAGTTGGTGGCTCCCTGAAGGCCAGGTCCCCAGACCCTATCCAGCTGTCATTGCTGAGGGAGCCAGAGGCCCAGGGCCCAACTGACCCTCAGGCTCCTTAGGCCACCCAAACGGGGCAGGGGGGGGGGGCGGGGGCGCGTGGTGGGGGCCAGGTCCCAGAGACTGCATCCTATGCAGACTGCCACTGCCATTTGGTCATAGAGGCAGGGATGGAGGAGAGGTTCACCACTGCTTCAAGGCCTGGGCCTAGCCATTGGGTGATCTTGGCAAGGGTTCTGGAGCCCAGCAGGACAGCCCCTGGCCTGTTTCCTGGGCCCTCCAGCTCACCCACTGACCCGAGGCCAGGTGAGCTAGAGGGCCCTGGGTAGAAAACCAGGATCTGCCTCTTTCTTCACTCTCCACATGATGACCACTACTCTCCTGACCATTGGCTGAATGCCCCACTAATGGTCATTCATTGACAGCTGCTTGCTTGGGGGAGGGGCCCACTGCAGCACTGACCAATGGCTGAGCAGACCACTAACAGTCACTCATTGACAGCTGGTCACTTGGGGGAGGGGCCCATTGAATCACCAACCAATGACTGAGCAGAAACACTAACACAGTCTCTCACTGACAGCTGGTCACTTGGGAGAGGGGCCCATTGCAGCACCAATCAATGGCTGAGCAGGACTACTAATGGTCCTGCAGTGATCACTGCCTGGTAACAGGTGTGAGGTAATGGCCATGTGCTAAGGGCTATGC